CTAAGATATTTCAAAGATGTCTCAAAGAACCGTTTAAAAGATTCTACGTCTCGATTTTTAACTTTTTTTTTTGTCGTTTGGGAAAACAATAGCGGTAAAAATATTTAGCCGCGAAATCACTACACGAGACGAACTCGGTGAGTGAGTTTCATCAGAAATTTACAAAGAATGAAAAAGGAGCAGCATTCGGTCCGAAGTACGAAAAACGGAGTGCCTGCCGTAAACTAAAACTTACGTATACATAGATAACAAGATAATTACTATTAATTAAGTAATTCTAAACGTACCTGCGTGGGAGTTAGATGAATTAAGGACGCCAGATGCTCCCGTTCGGGCGCGCTGAGGTACTTTTGCTGCTTGAATCGCCTTTCGAGCTCGTAGACCTGGGCCTGGGTGAAGAGTACGCGTCTCTTCCGTCTCTGCGCGAGAGGGAATTGCATCGCGCCGACGCCCATGCCGACGCCGACTCCGACGCCGACGCCCACCCCCATTCCCGACGACTTGGTCACGTCGCCCATCGACTGGCCCACCGAGCAGCCGGCCATGTTGGTCCCGGCGCCCGCCGCCGCGGCGCCCATCAGTCGCGAGACTGCAAAACATATTGAACAAACCGGGAATGATACTTTGCAGCCTTCTTTTTCCGCATGCATCTTCATTACGAAAATTTAAGGTCTATACTTAACGACGAAAGGTATATTCCTTGTTTCCGATTCCGCCCCGCATTCTTATTCTGATACTCTTACTTTAAATCTTATTTTAATCATCCATGCGAACAGTTTTAGATATTTTATACATTCATGATATACACACGGAAAGAACGATTTTGCTGAAGTACATGTAAGTACAGATCTGAAAATTATTTTCTTACATTCTTTCTTCATTTTTTTTCTTAGTGTGTGAACATACATCCACTTATTCGTGACACTGCAGTTTTTCTAGATTTTTTTAACAAGGATCTTTCATATCTTCCGCATTGAGACTGTTAATAGCACCTTGATTGAATCACTAATTCACTAAGCTGAGGATAACTCCAAGAAGAATTGAAACGTTCATGTTCAATGATTTATTATTTTTTACTTACAATTAACTAATTGAATAATATTTTATTCGCGCACCAATTATACAGAAATATTACTCATATTTTTTCTCTGAACATTTTAATATTGCCAGTGAGTAACTTATTGAAAATAATTTTTTTGTTTAACCGTCAAAATAATTATTTAGGAAACTTAATGAGAGTAATGCTGCAAAAAAAAAGAAATTAATACAAAGCAACCAGCTGGTTGAAAATAATTTTTAGACGTCAAAATTTTTTGCAGTATTACTCATCATATTCGAATTTTCTACATGAATATTTTCATAGCGAGAATTAAATTCTTGAGAACTAATTAAAAGAAATCGTTACCAACGATTTCAACGTGGCGATAGAGATTATAATAATTATGACATATTCATATTTTCGTAAGTATACGTCTAAGCGTATATGGTTGAACGATTCTCTTCTAAATTTGAGCTACCGAAGGCTACCCAGACGAGCAAGCGAGCGAGCGAGCGAGCGGTCGTCTATCCCTTGTCAGTTGGCGAGGAGCTGTCAAAAATGAACGCGCTTGGGCGCGGACAAAGGGAACGATTTAGACGCTGCGAAGTGCTACGTCACCGGAGCACGGGAGGTCCCCGAGATGAAGTTCCGAATTATTATGCCTGTGAGAACCGTATTTCTCGAGCCGTCGAGTGAAGTCGAGGGCGAGAAAGAAATACCACTTGAGCGCAGGAACAAACACCGTCAAATTTGTTTACCTCGGCGCGCCCGTAGAAATCGTACGGAGCTCGTAGCTCAAATCCGGAGTGCACTGTGCATCGAGCAAAAGTAATTGTCGTATTTTCGGCGGTAGAAGTCGACGCGTTTTTCGTCGAAGGCCCCTCGCGTTACGCGGATATCCGGGGTTACGTTCGATAGCCTATATTCGATAGCCGATTCGAGTACCCGACGAGTTTTCGTGGCTTCGCCTCACCTATCGGGATTAATTGTTGCACTGATTACCGGACGCCCTGTACTCGAATTAATCAAGACTGATTCGCGAGTCACTTGCCTGGTACCGTATATGAATTTTATAAGCACGTAATCTCTTGAGATCTCAACTTGATAATCATCATTTTTACAAGATCGTATATATACGATCTCCTCTTATCTAGAGTTGTGCTCGGATATGTACAGTCAGTACTGAAAATCTATAATTCACGTTACATATATATGTACAGATACTATATAGATTTTCAGTGTATGACACGATCTAGATTGTTACGCTGATTGCAACATGTATTGCATTTGAATTAATTAAAACAATCTCACGTCACTTGTCTGTTACGATATGTTCTATCCACATTTTATAAGCCCGTGATTTCTTGAAATCAACTTGACAATCCTTTTTATAAATTCGTATAAGATCTCCTCCTGGATTGTTGCACTGATTACCGAACGCTCTGCATTCAAATTAATCAAAATTAACTCACGCGTCTGTTATGATATATTCTATTCACAAATTTTAGAGGCCCGCGTTCTCATGAAATAAATACTTGATAATTTTTACAAATTATGCTCTCTTTTCGTAAATTTATACAATCTTCTAAATATTGATACGCGACTATCACGTGTTAACATTAATTGGTACTGCGAGGAATTTCACGTAAATCACATCGGTGATGTAAATTATTATGTTTCTCGTACGATGCCATCCTCCTTTTAAAGTTGCTCGTCAGCAGTCACCGAGAACAATGCGTGAGGATACGACTGACGGGACAGGATGTTTCGATGTAACTTCTGCCAATACACGAAGGCAGATCCCGATGATGGGCGAACAACGCGCGTGCAGGAACTCGTTAAATAAATTGACGTTTCTCCAACGTCTACCTGACCACCGGCGTCGCACTCTGCCTCACGTCGAACATCCCCGTTTCAAAACGTAATTATGTGGCATAGCGACCGACAGGGTGGGGAAGTCTCCACCGTCTCGGCTCTTCAGCCTCCAATTAGGTGACAAAAGCCCAAAAGATTTCTCGCTCCGAATCACAGACGTCTTCGCGTACCGCCCACAGTGTGAAAGTCGTCCAATCCAGCGGGATAAAAATATCTCGTCTGATGACATATAGATATAGACGTAACATTTAATTTCACACGTCGATTGCATAATTTTGCTTATTACGTAATTTCGCGTTTCACTTTAATTTTACTCTAATTAGATCTTGTTTAAAGCGTCACAAATCATAGGATCCGTAACTTGTTATTAAATTTGCTACGGAAATTCTATTCACGATCCCAGTT